TGATGAAAGGAAATGCAGATAGGTCTCTTGTGATACAATAGTGAATAATTGTTACCAGGACTGATTGTGAGGGTTGGAAATGTAAAGGTAGAAGTTTTGTAGCAAGGAGGGGAGTGATTAACTGTTCTAGGAGTGGAGGTCCCTGGAACCATCAAGGGAGAAGAGCAGAAAGCGGGACCCTACCCAGAGAAGCAGTGATGCCTGAGATGGAGGCAGAGACGATGATGTGGAGAGATGGAGCAGCTGGGGACTTTAGATCCAGAGAGAGAGAGGGGCTGTGTGCTGATGACCGGAGGGCAGGCTTGTAGTGTATATCCTTGGGTTGGTTGATGATGCACGGAGGGAATTGTTACCATGGCAATGAAATGATATATGATAGGATGATTGTAAAACTAATGTTCGCCCATGCAAGCTGTCACATAATTCACAATAAAACATTAAAAAAAAAAAAAAAGGAAAAGAATGCTTAAATACCTGGCACAAAGAGCTTTGCAATATTTTGTTTTGTTGTCAGGTGCCATTGAGTCAGTTCCAACTCATAGGGACACTATCGGTAGAGTTTCTGAGACAGTAAATCTTTATGGGAGCAAAAAGCCTCATAATTCCCTGCAGAGTGTCTGGTAGGTTTGAACTGTGGCCCTTGTTAGCAGTCCTGTACTGTGATTAGCCTAAAGCACCACCAGGACTCAACATAAATATTTAGGGATAATGAATTCAGAGAATTTATATATGGCGCTGTGGGTTAATGCACAGGACTGCAAAGTCAGTTTGAACTGTAAGGTCGACAGTTCAAGCTCACCAGCCACTCCTCAGAAACCCTATAAATGGTCACTATCGGTTGGAACTGACTCAATGGCAGTTAACAACAACATATAAACCAAAGTACCAAATATCAGTTAGAGAGAGCATCCCACATATAACAAAAAAAATACCAACTATAACAAACAAGAATATGCGTACCATGAACCCTGCTCCAGGAATGCAGGTACAATCCAGGGGCATTCACCAGGAAAACTGGGGGACAGTAGCTGTAAGAGTGGCCTGATGGGTCAGCAAAGTCACATCATGTAGGGGCATGTACATTCTGTTTAAACTTGTGAAGTTTATTCTAAGGTTAATGGCAAGTCACCAAATGGAGGTAAGCAGGGAGTGACAAGATTGGTTGTGCATTTAAGAAAACTCACTCTGGCTGCGGAGTGATGGATGGATCAGACAGGCAGAAGTATAGACAAAGAGGCCAGTGGACTAAGGGAAAAGACAAGTGTTCTGCTGCAGAAATAGAAACATACTTAGCAGATACCATTGACCAGTCGACTCCACAGCACATAACCACCACATTGACCAGACGAATTGAGCTGCTAACTTCAAGGTCAGAAGTTCAAAGCTATCAGCTGTTCCACAGCAGAAAGATGATGCTTTCTGCTCTTGTAAACATTTACAGCCTCGGAAACCCTGTGCAGGATCGCTATGAGTCTGAACCAACTCCATGACACATCTCCACCACCATTGACCAGTGGCTCTCAAGTTGATTCCCAGTCATGGCAACCTCAGAATAGAAGTATGCACCATCGGACTCCCAGTGACTGCTTTTTTAGAGGTAGATTGCCAGCCTTTCTTTTTAGGCACTTCTAGGAAAACACAAACCTCCAACTCTTAGGTTAACAGCCAAGATCATAATCATTTGCACCACCTGCAGAATTCTATTGAGGTTTTTGTTGTTGTTAGGTACTATCGAGTCAGTATCGACCCATAGCGACCTTATGCACAGCAGAACGAAACACTGCCCGATCCTGGCCAACCTCACTACTGTTGCCACACTTGAGTCCATCCATGCTGAAACTTGGCCAATCCATCTCATTGGGGGTCTTCCTCTTTTTCTCTGACCCTCCA